GCCCCGAGAGCCGGCGCGTCGAGGTGGGGGGCTGCAGCCGGATCTGGCTCTGCTGGGACCCGGGTCGGGTTCGTTTCGACGCCGGTCGGCTCTGTCTCGGTTCCCCGCTGTAGCTCTGAGGTGTCGTCTTTTTCCCCCATTAGCCCGGCCGAGCAGTTAACAGTGGGTCTGAGCGTCCTCTCTCTCGCCGCCGACTGAACAGGGAGCCTGCGTCGACTGGGATCAGCCTCTGAAACCCTGGGTAGGTGGGATGAATCCAGGCCTTCCCGCCGTCCTAGCCTGCTGAAGAGCAAGTAGTTAACACTGTTTCAGCCTGCGCTGACGTGGAGGTAAGAAACACTGTGAAACCGGCCCACCGCTACAGCTCCTGTGCCTTCGCTGCTCTTCAGAGCATCTTAGTCCTTCTTGGTAACATGTAGCTTCTCAGTTTGTCCCTGGGTTATATCCCACAAGCAGCTGAGGCTTTAAAAAAATTGAAGGACATTACTTACACCGTTAAATAGAAGCCTGGCATTAAAACTGATAGCGTTGGCTTTTAAAAGGAAACAGGCGAGTGTGTAAATGTCGAGCATCTGGTAAGAACTAGGACATAATGTTAGAATGGCTTTCCCCTCCCCATATTACATGCCTTTCTTTGAGACAGATTCAATATCAGTTGGACTAAAATGAGAAGTACAACTTGGCTGTCGGCAACCACAGCAGAAGAAACTGGGCGTTTTTCTCCAGGGGTGGATCATCTTCCCCACCTTAGTACCACAATCTGTTTATGTTGAGCGGTCTCAGAGTGCCTGTGCTGTTTGTGGAGGGTGATCGTGGAGGAGCAGAACCACTCGGGGATGGTTGCTCTGGGCCATTGCGAGGTGGCGCTGGCTTGCTCAGAGGGGAACTTCCAGTCTTGCGTCCCAGGCAGTGACTGAAATGAAGGCTTTCACCTGAGCGGGGACTGAAGCCCGTGACTCTCAGATTAGGTGTGTTGCTCTCTGGCTTGAGATCTGGGTCCTAGGATCTAATAACATTGGCATTGCTTGTCTTCAGCACTTCTTGTGTAAGAGCACGGGAGCTGCACTGAAGTGACTGGTGGTGTAGATTGTTATGGAAGTGCCTCATGTGTCTTGTGTGCTGGCTTACGTGTAAGAGTTAGTATCCACACTGTGGAAGAGCTTAGCTGATGAGATTTGTGGCCTGCTTTCAATGTAACTCTGTCCCTTACTGTGCTACTTTGGCACTTTCTAATTCAGCCTAAAAAGTCAAAAGGACAAATTTCAGGTCAGTGTTGTAGTCTCCAGGTTGTGACAGGCTGCAGGTGCTGCACTTCAGAAATGTTAAAATGTTTGCCAAAACCACCTGAACAGTAAGTAGGAGTTAAACTTTGGGCAGGATTGCCTTGAAAGCTGTTTTAGGGTATACCTGTGCTCTCAGAGAAAAAGCTCCTCAGTATGTCTGGGCCTGTACTTTTCAATCTCTTAGGAGAAAGGGCTGTCAGCCATGTCTAGTTTCCAAGGCAATTTGTAGGAAGTTGAAATAAGATGTGTACCTTCCTAGTAGTGATGGGGACTGATGTTCTGGGTCAAACATGGGGTCAGTTATGCTTGTGCTTGTGCTGTATTTGGTGGCAGTCACCTGCCAGGTCCAGGAAGCACCAATTCCCAGCGTGCATAACTAGGAAACAAGCTGCCTAGTGGGAGTTTGTTCCTAATCCTAGTGCTTAGCTATCACTGAGGTAACTTCACAATGAAAAGTCTTTGCTGAAGGCCTTAATAGCACAAATTATGCTTTTTCTTAAAAATCCTATCAAAATGTTAAACTTGATGTCTTAGTTAAATGTTGCATTAATTCAGATCTTTGGGTATGGATTTCTTCAGTTAGCTAACGCAGTAACTTGTTTTCTAAGGATTTTCAATTAACATAGAAATAATGCAGAATAAATAACTATTCCTAGTCATTCAGGGATCTCATGTCTTCTCTTCAAAAAAAAAGCACCAATCGGGTAGATGCAAGTTAAACAGCTTGGAGCTGTTAATATAAAATGAAATTGTACTTTTAGTAAATCGAACTGGCAAATACAAGAAGTAAGTCTTGCATCTTCTCAGTGGGGAAATTAATATGTCTGTGTTTTGAAATCATTTATTGAACGTTTCAGGGTTCTTGTCTTCTGGGTCCTGTGCATTTTAATTACCTAGATGCTGTGGTGTGGTGTTCTATAGGCTTCTTAATGTTCAGAGTGATTCCTATGTAACATCCCTTTCTGTGTTTTTCAGTTGTTCTGTTGAAGAATTGGGGGCGGAGGGCAACTGTGAAATTGCATCCAATGTAATCAGATTTTTATTTTTTTTTTTAACCCTTCTAGTGTAAACAAATCACATTGCATCATGGCAGCAGACTCTATGGAAATTGATGATGCTTTGTATAGGTAAGAATATCTGATTTTTAGGTGTTGTTCTTGACTTTTCAGCAACAGTAATGTGAAAGACAAGGCTTGAAAACACTATCCACTGGTGGTTTGGTAAAGGTGTGAGTACTTGTGCTGCTGTGTCCCTCCTTTTGTAAGGCAGAAACCCCAAAGTGTTCAGCAAGTGAAATAGAATCCACTTCTTGCAAAGTTAGCGGTGAGAACTGGTTGAATTGAAGATACTGTTCCTTTATTGGTTTCATAATAGGTGTTTTCTGACCATTATTAGTATTTGACCAGCAAAAAGCATAGGTAAATACTATGAAGTTGTACAAAGTTTGAATAGTATCAATAATGTGTGCTTTTTGGAAAACAGGAATAATAGTTCTATTTGTAATATGGATTCTCTTTCTGCCTTTAGCTTGTTTCCCTTTTGACAAAGTAGATATTCCTCTCTTTCTTGTTCCTCATCTTCTTTCACTACCTTTTTTCACCTTCTTTTTCAACATTATGTAATTTTTTCTCCTTCATAATTTCATTTATTCCTCAGTCTTTGCCATACTTCTCTGTCCTCATGAACATCATCAGTATCTTTGTTATCCTCCAGGCTTCAGGGTGTTGGGTTTTGGGTTTTTTTGGTAGATTTTTTAAAAGAATTATTTATTTTTTATTATTATTTTTGTTTTAGTTTGTTAGCTGGGAGTGGCTTTTGATCACTTGGCATGGCAATAGTTCAGAGAGCCTGTACTGGAACAAATGGTATCCCTGGAAAAATGTGGTGGGATGAAAAGCTTCTTTATATATATTTAAAAAAAAAAAGAACCAACACATTAAAAAAATCGCCTGTATGCTGAACAAATGAGGCTTCTTTTTAATTCAGTGCAATGCTTCCTGTGTTGTATGTGTCATTTGACTTTTTGGCACTAGTCTTATGAAAGTCATACTTTTCTTTGGTGGAAAAGGTGATATTTAGAATGGTTTAAGTTTAGTTGTATAGTTGGAAACTAAGAGTCTTTCAGAGCTCAGGATCTAAGTACAAAAGCTACTGCACCCTCTGGTTTAAAGATTTCTGATAACAAAGAAATTCTTTGGCTTTCTTGTGTCTTCAGTAGTTAATTCCAAAAAACTACTGTCCTGAATAGGTTTTACACTGATTTAAAATTAAAAGTTATTTTTCTTCTCTAAAACCTGGCACTGAAAAGGTCTGTACTAAATGCATTTCACTATTTGGACTGTGAGTGCAAATATTACATTTGATATGCATTTATTTCCTAAAGCCCTATACAGTTCAGATACATGCACGTTATGTCCTCAGTTGCTTGTTGAATGGAGGGCTGGTAAATACAACTGTGCACGCGTCACTAGCGACGCACACTCATCTGCAGAACTTGGTGGATTAGAAACTGATTGGGATGATAGAATAGCTGAAAATATTTGAACTTTTTTGGAAATGACTGGGAATTCTTGACTTGCTTTCATATGCTCTTGACATTATTTGTATCTTGTTTTGATGTGAATTTATCTTTGCTGTAGTCGCCAGAGGTATGTTCTTGGAGACACGGCAATGCAGAAGATGGCTCAGTCCCACGTATTCCTGAGTGGTATAGGTGGTCTTGGTGTGGAGATTGGTAAGTTAGGTAACATTTATTTAAGCAGACACAAGTGTATGTAAACATACTTGTAAAGCTTGTTTTACATTTAATAAGCGAGTCTGAAGTATCTGAGTGAATTTATATGTGCATGATGCCTATGAGTAATGTAGCAGATGCAGGAAAGATCCTGGACTTTTCTCTAGTAAGCTTTTTACTGGAACGTCATTTCCAATTTTACTTCAAAATGTGCTTCCATGGGCCAGACCGCTTTATCCAAAATCTTGTGTCTTGGGTGAAGGTTGAGGGTGGATAATCCAGGTTACTTCTTCAGGCATCAGTATCAATGAATTGTAATACAGGAACAGCTATAGCCCAAATTATCCCCATGTAGGAAATGGGTGGGTGAGAAGTAGGAGAACAGATGCAATTTCATGAAAAATGCGTAACTGCCCTTAAAAATTTCCCTTACTCTTTATGAGCAAGACTTGTCTTGGCTGGTTCTTACCTGGGTATTAGCCTTTCAGTTGGCTTTAATGGTACTCTGCACCAGATACCAGAACAGAGTCATGGGGTTTTGCAGTTTATTGTCATTAGCATGTCTGTGATCACGCTTGTGGGATGAACAGCTGACAAATGACAAATGTAGAGAGCCCTTTTAACCTTGCTCATGTTATTCCACTTTCAGTGGTGCTGTAGAATGCTTGAGCCAAATGTAAGAGAGAACAAACCCTTAAGCTGTGAAGTTCTTAGCAATGACATACTGTTATTGTCCACTCACATAACTATTCAATTACAGATTTGCAAGAAATCTGCAACAGTCCTTCTCTCTTTCTGTTTTTTTTCAGCCAAAAATATAATTCTGGCTGGGGTAAAGGTATGTAAAACAGCTCTGTTGTTGGGTATTCTTGGGTGAGCAGGAAAAAGGACAGCACTACTACCTAGCTAATCTTAAGTTTCTGAAACTGTCTTTCAGTAGAAGGATTGCAAAACATTTGAGGATTTGTGGGTGCAAACTTAATAATCTGGATGTTCTAGTGGTGTGGTCTGAGTCTCAGGTTAATGTCCACTGTGCTCTGAAATACCTCATGTAATATTTTAGCCAGCTACTGATCAGACATTGAATCCTTTTGTACAAAGTGGCCTTTCTGAAATGGAGTGGTATAAACTCAAAAGCCAGACTATTCAAAATATGTTATCCTATTCTGTCATCCATCAGAATCCTTTTGTGTAGACATTAGAATGTTTGGGTGTTTTAATCCAACAACTGCTTTTGTGCTGCTGAGGTTAGTTTTATGAGAGAGAAGCCTTTTAAAACTTCCTTCCAATCAAAAAAACCCCTTGTTTATAATTTTGGGAGTCCATTAATTTACAGATCACAATTGCCCCTTAATTGCAGTATGGCAAAAATCATCCTCAGTATTTAAATGCTCTCATCGCTGCAAGCTGGGAGGAAAATGCTTAATGAAATGCATATTGCAGATGCATCTGTCTCTCAACCAGTAAGAGTTTTCTTGGAAAAGAGGTTGGAGGAGCTTGTTCCTATACATGGTGCAACTAAATCTTCTGCAGTGCTAGTCCTCCATCATTTTATGTGGGGTTTAATCCATCCTTTTGGGTGCTATAACCACTTACGCTTCTTCCAGTAAATGCTTTTTGCCGAACTTTCTTAGGCTCTTACAGTTCATGACACCAAGCAGTGCACGAAATGGGATTTGGGAATCAACTTCTTCATCCATGAAGATGATATTACCGGTCAAAGGAACAGGTTGGTGAAGTCTTTGGAGTGAGGGAAGACTGAACTTGACTAGGAGTAACAGTTTCATCAGCAGCAAAAATAACAGTTCGTTGTCCGAGAGCTGCTAATACATATCAAATACTTGTTAAACCTCTTCTCTGGAGTTACTGGCTTTGAGTACAGTGCCCAGGTAGGTACTGGGGGAAGTCTAGGTTGGGATTGGAGTTCTGTCTGAGTCAAACATCTCACTTCTTGCAGTTGAGAGCTTCTAATGTAAATTTAACAGTGGGGGCCAGGGTGCATTTCTTCCCTGGGCTTTCTCAGCCACCCGTGCGAGACTAGAAAACAGCCATGACACCAGACCATCTCAGTGAGTCCTGTTGTATATTGGAGGGAGCTGTTTTCCTCAGACCTGCTAGGAATTTAAGTGTGAATAAGTGAGTTGGTGATTGTTGCCAGGAGACTTCCTGAGGGACTCTTGTAGGGCATGTGTGGTATGAAATTCTGTATTGAAAATATAATTTTGTAGATGCATAAAAAAACTTTTGTAAAAAACTTTTGTAAAAAGTTGCTGCTTTTTCAGGGCTGAGGCCACACTTCATCGTATTGCAGAACTCAATCCATATGTCCATGTAGCAGCATCAACTGTGCCACTAGATGAAACCACAGATCTGTCTTTTCTAAAGCAGTACCAGGTATGTCGCTTTTAAAGCAGTTGTACGTGGTATTTTGCTCAGAGCCAACAACTTGGATTTTTTTATATAAGTAAATAATGAAAACAAACTTTAAAGTGCATTTTGAGATGATGTAAAGAAAGAAGTAGGTCTTGTATTTGGACTAATGAAATGACCGTGCTTTTTTTTTTTTTTTTTTTTAAGGCTGAAACAGTGGTTTTGTGTTCCTAGCACTTTCTTATGATGCTTACTATGGAATTTACTATGACAATAAATAGCTAAGTGAGATTGCCATACATTGTTTTTTTATTGAAAGGTGAAACTGTGACTTTTTTTTTGCAGCTACATAGCACAGATGTTCTACATGTATTGTGTGCTGTATTCCAGGCAGTAGAAACTCAGGCTATATAATTAGAAAGATTATTTACGTATATACGTATCTAATGAAACATAAGCTCCTCTGTGGTGGAATGAGGATGTTTTCAGTTGTTCAGTCAGCTGTCTCCTGCCTGTGTGCATGGCTCAGTCTGAGTTGGGAACTTTTACTTTGTGGCTATATCAGTTATACCCAAGCTCACCAAGTTTCTGAATGTCCCAGCTATAATAAGCCATGTATAACTGAATGGGACGCAGTGCATATGCTTTGTAACCCAGTAGCGTCCTAAACTTTAAAAGAATGCTTGCAGTAATTGTATGTCTGCAATTTGATGAGCACCAGCACTTGAAGCTTGTGCAGACTTCTTGGTGTGTACTGACAAGTATAATTTGTGTTTGTGTTTGTTTTGCTAACTTTAATCTTAAAATTCAAGATCTACATTTTCTCTGAGATTATCCATAACTGTTTTCATAAGTATTCTGATGAGGTTTTGAGTTTCACAGCTGCAGTAAAAAAAAAAAAAAGGGTGAGAATTTGCTGTTGCTGCTCTTGCTCATCTTGTTTCCAGAACTTGTGGAGCAGTAACCTACCTGTTCTAATGTGTAATGAGAAAACTGACTCAAGACTGCTTTCTCTGTTATGTGTGGGGGAAAGGAATCAGGACACCTGAGTAACTTACTGTTAGTACTACTTTTTCCATAGCCTGAAGATGTTGATTGCTTCTGGTGTCTTAGATTTATTTCTCTTCTTCTTCACAGTGTGTCATACTGACTGAAGTAAGTCTGTTGCTGCAGAAGAAGATTAATGACTTCTGTCATGCTCAGCAGCCACCTATTAAGGTAATAGAAAAAAATTAAACACATGAATAATCCATACAGTGAGCGTCCTGGACCTCCAGCATGTTGTATCCAGAAAAGGAGAAAGCTGGTTATGAGGTATATAGTTCTATGCACGTAGCATGTTGATGGAGCAGTATGCGTTTTGGGAGTATGATGCTGCTACTCTGTACATGTGTCTGGTGTTATCTGGCTACCAGCCCAGATAACCATAGCTTAGTTCTTAAATAAAAAGAAAGAAATTCTGTTAAAGAAGTAGTTTTCACTGTTAACTCATAATTGTTCTGAAAGAACACGCTGAGACTGAATGTAACAGTAGTAGAAATGGCAGTATTTCACTGCGTATTGGTGTGATTCCTGTTTTTTGTGTAGGGGTTCTGAAATGCTCATGCCGGTTCAAAGTCTGTCATGAATGCTGTGCTATATAGTCAGTGGCCTGGGTGCACATGGCAGGTTTCCACCGTAGAAGTTAAACCTGCTAGCCTTGGACAAGGTTGAATGTGAGAGGTCATTCCTTTGGCTTGTGCTGTTTTAGGGTTACTCATGATTTTTAATTTCTCTTGTAGTTCATCAGCGCAGATGTATACGGAATATGTTCACGTTTGTTTTGTGACTTCGGTGATGAATTTGAAGTGCTGGATACAACGGGAGAGGAGCCAAAGGAGATCTTCATTTCAAATATAACACAAGTAAGGGATAGAAGTCATTGTGAGCTGTTTTAATTTTTTATAATGACTCGTTATTGGCTATGTGACCAAGCGGAGTGTTTCACTTCAGCGGCCCACTAAGCAGTTGAAAATTGGCAGTATAGCAGAGGCAAACAAAGTTACTTCATTGTTGTGTCTTGTTCTTGATGTCTTGAACGGTCAGGGATAATGTGCTAACATTGTAGAGCATACTGATGCCTCCTGGTCATTACTTACAATGTAACATCATAATATTGAGTCTTTTTTTGAGAGAGAGAGAGAGGGAAATTAGGAGATGTAGAGAGAAGAGGACATAGCCTTGATGTGGGGATAGGTTAAGTCTTCTGAGGAAGCCCTGAAATAGGCATGAAAATAGCCCTTTTTTTGAGAAACTACGGGAATGATCAAGGGGGTTGAGAGCCTGTTTTGAAAAGGAATTTAAAGGATTGTTTTAACCTACGAAAGCAGAGGCGACGAGAAGAGGATATTATTGCTAATACTTCCAGTGCAGAATGTTAGAGAGGATGTCCATTTGATCTTGTATTATTGTTTTATAAACGGAAATGACCTTAGTTCCTTCCCTCAACTCTGGAAGTCCACACTACAACCTCACTCATCCAGTAGCAAGTCTTTTGTCATATCTCCAGTCTAGATGTAATAATAACCAAACTAGAAGGGGTTGTGTGGCAAGCTGGGTTTAATCTGAATTAAGACTCATGATATGATGATTTGGGTAGCCTGTTCTTTGGTATCTTTAAAAGGGAATGGATGACTTGATTGTTTTCATTAATTACATAAAGAGTACATAGTTATGGTTCATGGCTTGTGCTGGTTGCCTGCCAAGTCAAGGAATGGATATATGCCTGTATATATATCCTGTGATTCATAATCTGATAATTGAGTTTAGTTGTATTTTACTTCCACTCTCTGAAGCATAAAACTGACCAGAATTACAACTCAATACCAAAAAATCAGGATCAATCGGCTGTTCTTGTCCTGTGGCCAGGGTCAAGGTAGCATTCTGTCCCTAAATCAGAGAAGAATTTTCTCTGGTCAACTCATTTGTTATTCTCCATGTCACAGAGAATGTAGTCCACTGTAACTAAGTTTTATGCTACTTGACTGAAATCTTTCTAATATTGGGAGCTCAGGAAGGGATGGCAGGAGACTTTACAAGCCAGGCTTGCTTGCAAATCCGCTATGTTACAGCCTGAGCTGCACCACAAGGTCTTGATGAGCTGCCCTCAGACTGCAGAGGGGTCTCTGTGTGCGTGGGAGGTTGGCGTCACGTCTTGTAACAGGATGAGATGTTGTCTGAGATTCTTGCAAGTGTAAGCTTGTTTGTTTGTGATCTGCCTGAGGCTGTGGCTTTCCTATATTTAAGGATGTCCAGCTTTGTAAGCTTCCTAACTTTCAAGAATGAGGTTGGGGTATCCTTTTTAAGGAGATCAGGTGGTAAGGAGGCATGGAGGACTATTCACAAGACTATTTCTTAATGTCTGTGAAAATGTCTTTGTACATGTAGTCTATTTTTGGTTTGGAAAAAGGAGATAAATTTGCTACTACTTTAGAACAGAACAATGAATTTTACTGCTAAGAACTAAAAAATGCAGTTTGCTAACATGCTGAGAACTGTAAAAGGTAAAAATGAGAAAGTCTGTGTTATGGAAACACTGTTAAACTGAAAATAAGAGGACTGAAAAAGTTATCATAGGTAACTCCCCTGTTATGGCAGAACTGAGGTGCTAAAAGTATTAGAGGCTGCAGTTTCAATAGGCAAAAAGCTATGTGTCTACGATACAGCATGACTCCTTTACGCAAGACACTGTCTTCCTTGTTAACTTTGCCATTTTCGCTTTCAGTCAAATCCTGGTATTGTCACTTGCCTTGAAAATCATCCACACAGGCTTGAAACAGGACAGTTCTTAACCTTTCGGGAAGTTAATGGAATGTCATGCTTAAATGGATCCACACACCAAATAACAGGTAAACTGTTGCTGACTCATTTGCAAGGTATTTATTTTTTGGCCTGTTTAACTCACTGTAGTGTTAGTCACTGTGGCCAGAGGAGTGCTGGGTTGTGCAGACCTCCAGTGAGCTTGCACAAAAAAAATTGCTTTCTGGTGCAAAGGTCTTCCTCGTGTTGTCTCCACTCCATTTCCATTTAGTAAAGTCTTTCCAAACTCATCTTGCTGCTTAAGGAGCAGTGAAAACTCTCAGGTAGTAGAAACTATTTGGCAGCCTCTGAGGTTACCGTCATAAGTTTGCTGACGAAACTGTTTTGGTTTTTTGGAGGGTCCCATAATACCTGTGCTTCTGTCACGGTTTTGGACTAAATTAACACCACTTTGTGTGTCACTGTTAGCCTTGTAGATTTTTGGGTGACAATTTAAGTGTATAAGGATGCATTGACATCACTGTTTCTAAGCATGCTTTTGAAGTGGTTCTCATTGTCATGATTTATGTTTACTCTGCTTTGGCCTGCATCATGCATGTTTCAAGGCATACTACTTGGTTCCTGTTGGATTCTGGGGAATTGCCCAGTTCCCAGATCTGAATGCCTGTTTTTCTGGAGCAGAAGAGAGAGCGGGTGGGTGGGGGTTGCTTGTTTGTTTTTAACTATTCTGTGGTCTGAGACAAAAACAGCACCCTTGAAACATGTGGTTGAGTCTGTTTTCTCTGGACCCTTTTGTTTTGCTGGTGCTGATGCTGTGTTCAGTTCCTTCCTCTTAATCATGGCCCAGCTTTTGGTTTCCGTTTTCCATGAATTAACAGTTTTTGTGTCTTCTTGCTTTATCTGAATGATGGTCCAGGTGGTATGAGAGGAAAGATGTGACTTAAATGCTCCAGCTGTCCTTTTTGATTGCCTGTTGCTCTAGTCACGGGGCTAAAATCCTGCTCTGAGCAGTACACTGGACACTGTTGTGTGCAGTCTGAATAAAACTGAGTGTCATTTCATTTTTGTTATAGAGCTGTGGTCATCAGAATTCTTGTTAAATCTGCTGCCACTTTAAAAAGCTTATTTCATAACAGATCATGTGAAACTAATACTGTAGCCGAGAAACTGGCAGAGAGGGGCAATCCTGTTAGTGAGGAGGATCAGCTGTGTTTATGCTTTCAAAGCAAGATTGCACACTACAAAATTACAGCATAAAAAGCATTGGCAAAACCTCACTTTATTGTATACAGAATTGTAGTATCTGATGACACTTTTAATTATCAGTCACCGTTTATTCTCTTCTCTTTTCAGTGGTGTCACCTTATTCCTTCAGCATTGGCGATACGTCAGATATGGAGCCTTACTTACATGGAGGCATAGCTGTCCAAGTGAAGACGCCCAAGATGTTTTACTTCGTAAGTGTGTGATTGCCATGACCAGGTTCTTGAGTGTTAATGGCCTGAGCACTGGAAGCAGAGCTCAGCAGATACATGATTTGGTTACCCATGATTTGAGTTTACACTCATTCTGTTGGGTAAGAATAGTGATACCGATTTACTAAACCGTAGAGAATAGGAAATACTTCAAAGTTACCTGCCAGTGTAGAGAAAAAAAAATAAAATATGGGCAGCCTATCCCTGTACTGCTGGGGACTCCTTGAAGGTCTATGAATATGTGGTTTCTTGGTGGCCTTCTGAGAAGAAGAGACAGTTGGATGAGTTTGTATAAGGAGGGCTGCAAGCTACATGGTGCTGTGTGCCTTTTTGGGCCCAGCAGAAAGTAGATCCTGACTGCCCTCAAACATTCTTCTAAAAAGCTGGGAGTGAGGACCAGCTGCCTCTGATATGAGAATGCACAGCTCAGTATCTTGTCTCTGTGAAGAGATAGCTTCCTGTTCTTCCTGAGTGGGGAAGTACTACAAGCAAAGAGCCAGTTGCCTATAAAATCTCTGGTAACTGACCTCAGAGCAGTTTAAGAGATAGGTCTTGCCACTAGGACGTGAAACATCTCTGACAATTTTTGATTCACAAAACTTGCAGTAGATGATTATTTTATGCATCTTTTGTGGTGTTGGACTATGATCTTAAAGGTCTTTTCCAACCTAAATGATTCTATGATTAATAATGGAGAGAGTAATAGCAATGCTAGTAAGAAAGGACATTTGGTTCTTAGTCTCTCCAGGAAGAGTATTGTTTTGTCAGGTAGCAGTGACTGTCGTGTCCTTAAGTGGGTGTGTTGTTATCGTGAATTCTGTTTTTCCAGGAACGGTTGGAGAAGCAGATAACAAATCCATTATGCCTTGTTGCGGATTTTAGCAAGCCTGAGGTAATTAGCATGTGGGGATTTGGGCATAAGTGCTTTAATGTTAAAACTACATGGAATGTAATCTGCAGCTTTACGTGTAGAACAATATGATTTCCTAACTCTATTCTGTAGTAGTTAAATATGAGTCTAAAGTGTGAAATAAGAGTGAGGTATCAGTTTGCATTGTCACACAGAATATACGTTATGGTTTAGATCACCGTAGAGGCTTGTTACCCATGACTTGCACCAAGTATATTGTAAATGCATAGCTCAGCCACCTCTGCTGTTCGAAATCTCAGTTTTTGATAAGTCTTTAAGTCATGGGAGTTTAAATTTTACAAGTGACACAATGATTTTTTCTGTATTTAATGATGTTTGGTTGATAAAAATCATACTGGCATTAAAGCTGGGATAATCAAAAAACCATGGTCATTAGATTGGTTGGAAACTGGAGTTAACAGTGTAAGAATAATTTTTTTTTTTCTTTGAAAAAATGTTTCAGAGGTATTTTTAAGATCTGGGAGGAAGCTAGCAGTATTTGCCTCTAATACAATTTTAGTTAAGTATTATGGACATGCAAGGCATGTAAATCTCAGGCTCATTAAAATCTTAAACTAAAAGATGTTGATCTAATGATTTTTTGATTGTTTGATAATGTAAGTTCTGACTTGCCTGTTCAGATTTTCTACTTTTGACCCTTCATGCTGGGCTCTGGTATTGATGTTTGGCAAAATGTAATGCACTCTAATCTCTAGTTAAAAGATTACTGCGTTTTCCAATTTCAGCACTGAATTCTGTTGGGGACTCTAGTTGGATTTAGTTGAAGTTGGTGCTGAATATGTGTGAAGGGTATTGCATTACTACTGAGTAATACTTTATAATCCCAGTTTGTAAAAAACATTAGTGCAAGGTATTTCAAATTCACTTTTTAATGCTATTTAAAAACTTCCTTTGAGCAATATGGTTGAGATAAGGAGGTGAAATGGTAACAGAAGAGTTCAAATAGTTGCTTTTGTTTCCTTCAGTTTTATTGAGTTTGTAACTGATCAACAGCTATTGATCTTAACAGGCACCTTTGCAGATCCATGTTGCCATGCTTGCCTTGAACCACTTCCAGGAGAGCTTTGGTCGCAGACCAAACATTGGGTAATGCAGCAGTCTTGCGTTTGCTAAGTCTTGAGTCAGACAGATCTCTCCTGTCACTGTAGTTACTGGTTTGATGTGCCGGAGAGTGCCTTGTCTGTCTGATACATAATAGATGACATAGAAATGAAAAGTTAAAATCTAGATGAAAAATGTTACCTAATGCATGTCTGGGTTTGTAATAGGGCATTCCCAATACAGCAATGGCACTTTCTGGGCCCAGGTAGACAAGAAACTGCTTCTGGAGGAAGTCTTTCTCTGTTCCAGTTTTTTCACATTGTGGGGTTAATATGGAAAAGTTGTTTCAGTGATTCCTGAATTATCCTGTAGCTTATGGATTTAAAAAAAAAAGGTCTGAAGGATTTGGTTTTCATTTTCAGTATTTTTTTTCAGCTGTAGTTCTTGATGTGCATAATTTTGAGTTAAACGAGACCAAACTACTTACGAAGTATAAATCTTAAGACAGGACTTGCACATGGGCTTCTCCATTGAGACCCCTGTTCTTGAGCTAACTGTAACATTTAAAAGTGCATCTTTCATGCTCACTGTTAAAGCCAATATAAATTTCCAAACTCTTCCTACTATATGCAGTGCTTTTTTCTCCATTGACTGTGTTTCTAGAAGGACTCTGGAATCTTTTAAGTGATGATTATTGTTTCTACCCTGGTGTCTAGATGCCTTCAAGATGCTGAGGAAATGCTGAAAATAGCCGTGTCTATAAGTGAAACACTGGAAACCAAAGTGAGTAAGGAGTCGTTATCATTATGAGTCATTTCTGATGCGCTCATTTACTTGCTTAAAGGTCATGCTTTGGTTATTGGTCCTTGTTCTGGTCTTTGTATCCATCTTTAGGTGGATCAGCTGGCTTTCTGAAGGCCATGAGAGGAAACAGAATGGTGTTTCATAGAATCATACAATCATTAAGGTTGGAAAAGACCCTTAAGATCATCAAGTCCAACCATTAACCTAGCACTGCCAAGTCCACCACTAAACCATGTCCTCGAGCACCACGTCTACCCTTCTTTTAAATCCCTCCAGGGACTCAACCACTTCCCTGGGCAGCCTCTTTCAGTGCCTGACTACGCTTTCGGTGAAGAAGTTTTTCCTAATATCCAACCTAAACCTCCCCTGGCGCAGGTTGTGGCCGTTTCCTCTTGTCCTATCGCTTGTTACTAGGGAGAAGAGACCAACCCCCACCTGGCTACAACCTCCTTTCAGGTAGCTGTGGAGAGCAATAAGGTCTCGCCTCAGCCTTCTCTTCTCCAGACCAAACAACCCCAGCTCCCTCAGCCGCTCCTCATCAGACTTGTGCTCTAGACCCTTCACCAGCTTCGTTGCCCTTCTCTGGACACGCTCCAGCACCTCGATGTCCTTCTTGTCGTGAGAGGCCCAAAGCTGAACACAGTACTCGAGGTGCGGCCTCACCAGTGCCGAGTACAGGGGGACGATCACCTCCTTGGTCCTGCTGGCCACACTATTCTTGATACAGGCCAGGATGCCATTGGCCCTCTTGGCCACCTGAGCACACTGCTGGCTCATATTCAGCCGGATGTTTACCAACACCCCCAGGTCCTTTTTCGCCAGGCAGCTTCAGCACGGGTTCAACTGAGTGTTCACCTGACATGAAGGCTAAATCCTGTGGCTATATGAATCTAGTTTTTAGATAAATGCATATTACAAGTACAGGTTATACAGTGGATCTGTCTTGGCTGCAAACCTTTTTACTAGTCAGAGTGAAATAATTTGTCTGTTGTTTACTGAAGAACAATAATCTATGAAACTGTCAAGCACTGACTTGCTCGATTGAAGGGATAAATCTCTTGTTGTTATGTCTTATTTTTCAGCCTCAGGTGAATGGAGATGTAGTGAAATGGCTGTCTAGGACTGCTCAGGGATTTCTAGCTCCTCTGGCTGCAGCAGTGGGTGGTGTTGCTAGCCAGGAAGTCTTGAAAGCAGTAACAGGAAAATTTTCTCCATTGCAGCAGTGGGTAAGGCTGCCTTTGTTTTTCGGATCTTTATTTTGACAGCGATGTTACAAATGTATGGTTGTGTGTAAATGCTGTATGGTGAAAATAGCCTGAACACCTTGTATAATAGCGGGGGTGGGGGGAAGACTTGAGACTGAATTTCAGAAAAAAATATAATGTTTTTATGTGTACGATAAAAGTGCAGCCAGTTTTAGGTAAAGTTTTCGTATTTGGGGTTCAGACATTAGATTCTTTTTTTCCCCCCAAGCAAGGAGAGCATTGGCCTGTCAGTGCATGGCTGCAAAGGTGTGATGTAGTCCCGATGCCAGCTTAAGCTACTGTACATAACAGCAGTGCTTTCAGACTCTCAGGATAAGTGTCAGAATAAAGTTAGATTTAAAAACTTCACAGTCTAATTTGGAGGGATAACATGCCTGTCAGAAGTCAAAAGCTTGCGGCTCATGTTTCAGTGAGCTTTTTTTTTCCTGTGTCCAGGCTCTTTTTCCTGTCCACTAAAATTGTGAAGTGAACTGTAGGGAACTGAATGCTGTATAGTCTTCCACTGACAATAAAAACTTAGTGCTTCTAAATTCCTCGACTCTGTTGTACATAGAAAGTAATTACTTTGTTTTTTAAACGAAAATAACATGAATGTTTTTCACAGGTTTTTATCCCCCCCACCTTTTTTTTTTTTTTTTCACAGCTATATATAGATATGTTAGACATTGTAACACCTCTAGAAAAGATGGGCTCTGAAGAATTTCTCCCACGGTAAGTAGAACTACAATGTGCTGTTTTATGTATTGTTCACATCTGATTCTCAAGCAGGCACAGAAATGTTTTTTAAAGTTAGTTCAGTGCCGTTTGCTGGAGGGACAGGTTTGTTGTTGAGAACATGTGTCCTATTTGAGCGTGGGAGGAACAGCAATTATAGGCAACTTTTCTTAGTTCATGTCAAAGTGCAGTTTGGCATCAATGATACTACCATAATAAATTGCAACTTACTAGTCTTCTGTTTTTGTCTCCTATGCCTGCATAGGGGAGATAGGTATGATGCCTTGAGGGCTTGCATTGGAGACTCGTTGTGCCAGAAGCTGCATGATTTGAATGTTTTCTTGGTGAGTATGACCGACACACTTCTTGCAAATGCTTTGTCGATACAGCTAACGTCCACTGTCTTCAAAATAACGATAGCAGCCCTGACAATGTGTGCCACTGCAGAATAAATGGTCCAAAATTGTAATGAGACTTGTGTATTGTACTTGTCTTTATAGTTTTCACTTGGGTGTCTGACTCTAAAAATGTCTTTTCCCTTAGGTTGGCTGTGGAGCGATAGGCTGTGAAATGCTAAAAAACTTTGCACTTCTTGGTGTTGGTACTGGGCAAGACAAAGGATTGGTAAGTCTGTTAACCTCACTTTGCTTATTAAAAAGTAATGTGACAAGGAACAATTAAATAATTAGACTACTTAAAAATGTTAAAAGTCTAAGCCTTATTTCAGGTCGATCTCTGCGCAGAGGGTAAAATGGCCTCAGCATAAAGTGGAAGAAGCGTGCAATTAGAAGCAGAACACACTTGGAGTAGTCTTGCTGTATTTTGATTTTAAAACAAAATTTAATCAGTCAGTACAGGCAGAGCTGTTAGCCACAGTGGATGCCAACAGGAGTGCTTTGTTTTGACAAGTTTGTATAGAGATTTCATCAAGATTATTGCTCAGTGCTGCACTTAAATTGTAACTTCAGCTGTTGCTTTTGCCCTTTCTGACTTAGGTTACAATTACAGATCCAGACTTGATAGAGAAATCCAACCTGAACAGGCAGTTTCTTTTTCGACCTCATCACATACAGGTAGGCTTTCTTGTTGAATAAACTTTCTGGACTGTTGTTCTGTTTCCCTGTCCTGTGTCTCCACCGAGAGCTGAACTTGTGAGCATATGTACTTCTGTCCAGATAAGACTTAAAAGCTGTAATGAAATCCAATATCTTTTAAAACAATAGCTAGAACTACCTTGGCATCCCACTTAGCGCTAGTATCAGTTGAGTAAAATTGGCTGGTCTGATCTTAATTTGTACTGGGGTCTTTGACTAATGAAATCTCTCAAACTTGAGAATCCGATGATGAGTGCTGTGTTGCATAAGGTGGGTTAATATGCCAGAAATGCTTTACTATACCACTGAAATGCAGGAAGAATAAAACAAAGCAACAAAAAATAGACAGCACTGGCAGAAGTGTTCTCAATAGAAGAGCTACTGCTAATGGAACTTGACCAAAGTTGCTATCTTCTGACTTAATTCAGTCTTCATTAAGCTGGTAAATAGCTTGGCAAAAACACATGCAAATGCGTGATACAGAAACTGTTGATTCCTTAGAAGCAGAGAGAATATCCCTGCACTTGCAAACACAGCACAAAATAAAAAAGGTGGCTCAGATCCTGACAGCAATGGGGAAAAGGGATTCCCCTGCCCAAAACCCAGCAGCTGAATTTTCTGCCTCCTGTTTATGTCTAGCAAATCTGGGAACAGATTACATTTTGTTTGGATAGATAAATGGAAGCTGAACTCTGCAAGCTTTCAGAAGCCACACTGTCTTGGGTTCCGCTGTTCTAAGTGCTGATCCCTAGATAACTGAATGTAGTATAGCTAGAAGTGTCAGGTAGGTTAAGAACTCTACTTCAGTTTAGCTTCTGAAATTGGCTTTGTGTGGAATGGCTTGCAATAATGTGATTATTCAAGGTGTTTGTCTATGCTGCGTAGACATAGTCACAATAACTAATGGGTTTATGCTCTGACAGTCATGAACTGCTCCTTTCTTCTGGCATTTTGAGAGCATGAGAGGCAGCATGTGGCATCAGTATCAGCTACTTGATACACTTCTGCACCATTTAAGCACATTCACCTTGTGGTCTCTGATGCACTACTTTTAAATAAAACTAAAAATAAAACTAGATTAATAAGATATTTATTAGTGAGGGAGGTATATGATTAAAGAATTTCCTTTATTGTATGTTTTGCATACTAACATTTCTATCAGTGAATTGTTGTCTGATCAGCAAATGAAGTTCATACTTCTGTGTCCCAGATGTTCTTTATCTGGATATTGTTGATATATGTATGTATTTATACTTTCAGAAACCTAAAAGCTATACTGCAGCAGAAGCAACTCTGAACATCAATCCTTACTTAAAGATTGACTCATATATTAATAAAGTTTGTCCAGCCACTGAGAACACTTACAGCGATGAATTCTATACCAAGCAAGATGTGATTGTGACCGCTTTGGACAATGTTGAGGCAAGGAGATACATTGATAGGTAGGTTGTGGAAAGGAATCGAGGGCTGCTTTTCACATTCTTATGTGAGCTTTGCTTTTCTATTCTTAATCTTCCTGATCTGCAACTGCTTATAAGATTTGATAACAAATTGCTCAGATTTATCTTGCTCCTTTATAGGGATGCTAGCTGGGGGGAGGAGGGGATTTATACTTGTGGTGGAAACCATCTCTGCTGTTGTGCAGCTGCTACTGTTCACGTGGCACAGAGCCTTGGAGTGAGCTCCTGGAAATGAATAGCTGTCAGGGTCTGATGAGGGGGAGAATACTATGGCAGTCTTAAGGTTGAATTATTTGTGCATAAGAATATGTATTTAAATTTATAAGTAGAATCATAGAATCACAGAATGCTTTGGGATGGAAGGGACCTTTAAAGGTCATCTAGTCCATCCCCCCTGCAATTGGCAGGGACATCTTCAACTAGATCAGGTTGCTCAGAGCCCCATCCAGCCTGGCCTTGAATGTTTCCAGGGATGGGGCATCTACCACCTCTCTGGGCAACCCGTTCCAGTGTTTCACCACCCTCATTGTAAAAAATTTCTTCCTTATATCTAGTCTGAATCTACCCTCTTTTAGTTTAAAACCATTACCCCTTGTCCTGTCACAACAGGCCCTGCTAAAAAGTCTGTCCCCATCTTTCTTATAAGCCCCCTTTAAGTATTGAAAGGCCACAATAAGGTCTCCCCGCAGCCTTCTTCAGCTCTTTCAGCCTTTCCTCATAAGAGAGGTAGGGCCGTTTACATTTAAAAAGAATTACTAGTGCTCCTAATCCAGGTAGGCTCAGGTTTATGGTATCCTGATCTAATTTGAAATAGCTCTTCTTACTTAATCTCTTCTTTTCCCGAGTTTGGTGTAAGCTTTCCACTCTTCTGAAAGTGCCTAGAGTCAATTCTGGTTACACTCCAGTAATGCCTGCAAAGTGAGAGTGTAGCGATTACGCTGTATTCTGATAGTCTGTGTCTTTCCATGTCAGTCGTTGTGTAGCAAACCTGCGTCCTCTTATAGACTCTGGAACTATGGGAACCAAAGGACACACGGAAGTTATTGTGCCCCATCTGACAGAGTCCTATAATAGTCACGTAAGTGTTTTAAGACCATTGCTTACCTTCTGTAGCTAGTCCCATAATGCCCTCCAATTCTTTAATTGTTTATGTATCTGTCTAAAATAATTGGCCTATTTGAATTCCTGAAGATCAGTACTGTTAGGAAATAATTACTTCCTTGGCTTCTGAAGAAAAGCTCACAGGAAATAAAATTTCAGCAGACTGGAGATACCATGTCTGCTACCTAGCTGATGATTACGCCTAGGCCAATAATTAAAAGCAACTACTATATAAATCATGAAACACAAGCTTTGGAAAAAGTCCTAATTCTGAAGCATTTCCAAGGGACTGACTTTTTTTTCCCTTGAAAACTCCCTTCCAAATAAGAATGTAGTCCCACAATGGCATTGCAAACTGGTTTTGTACTTGTGGGTTTCTTTCTTAGAATGCTTCCTGCCTGCTCATTCTGTTCTTGGTATATACCACCTCCACAGGCAGGTAGGAGAAACACAAGCCTCTGTAGTAGGAATTAGCCTGCCAGTTTCTACAAGCATACATAACAGTTCTGTTTGAATGAGGAAGGGGGAAATGAACGTTTAGACTCTTGCAGCATCCCTCTGTTTAAGTTCTTGTGAAGTTGCCTTTACAAGGTAGAAATTCGCTGATTGAGAACACCATGAAATGGGGCCACGTGCACACAGAGATAGGATTTTGAGCATCCTAACGGTCTTGCCAGGGTCCACAAAGAAAGAAGTCTTTCTGGCCTTGAGTGAAAGGGTGTATTTCATGTTGAGAGTGTATGTGACTGCGAACTTGGAAAAGCTGGCTGGCAATTTCTTCTGTTGTTTGTGTTTCAGAGTTCAGTTTTGCTTTCCAGTGTTGAGTTTAGACTATTCTTCGTAAACAGGAAGCGATATATTAACGTTCATAAAACAAATTTTGTTCTAAGCATAAATAAGGCACCTTGTATTTTATAACAGTGGAGTTTTAAGCTTATATAGTCTAGATTAGTGCTATTATTAGCAATAAACTTTAATAAGCCTGCATTTGCACGCAACTCTCCTTAATTACAGCGGGATCCACCAGAAGAAGAAATACCTTTTTGCACCTTGAAGTCTTTCCCAGCTGCCATTGAGCATACGATACAGTGGGCAAGAGATAAGGTAAGTGAATAAGCTTACTGCCATTCAGCATAACTTAACATGTATTTGGAAAGGTGAGGGACAGCATAACTTAATGTGTATTTGGAAAGGTGGCCTATCTGATATATGTCTTGCAAAATGCCATATTTGTTCTTTTTATTTTCTAGTTTGAAAGTTCATTTTCTCACAAGCCTTCGTTGTTTAACAAATTCTGGCAAACCTATCCATCCGCAGAAGAAGTTTTACAGGTAGGGGAATGTTGCCAGGGCAAAATACAGAGTTTAAACTAATGCTTTATGGATTTTTTTTTTTTCTATTTAAGTTCAGTGAGATTTGGGTTATTTTCTGACTTTATTCAGAAAACCTGAAGACTTATTTGGCCAAGTCATGAGTTGATCTTTCATGGGAACAGTATTTCTGGTGCGTCCCATAATTAAGAGCCAAAGTCTCATGCATAGGCTGCTTCTCTAGCTCATGTGTGCTCTGTACATGATGTAGAAATACCAGAAACACTGAGGTACTGCTAGCGAGTGTATAGTAGATGTCACACTGATGTGCAGCCAGCTGGGAAAAATAAAGGGAAGACTTAGTTTCAAGTGAATTCAACTATGTAATAAACTACTCAATTGCTTAATATCTTTTCTTGTGAGTCTGTAATGGCCTATGGTCCATAGGGCTGGGTGGAAATAAATCAAGTTGACCACAGCACCTGGGGAAAAATCCAGTGGAGAGGATCACATAAAGGATAATATTTCACAAAGTGACCCTCCGTTTCCTTTTGCCTGTAACTTACTAAAAACCTATTTACTATTTGACTGGATTGGGAGGAATCTTGTCTGTTTTAACATTTTCGTATTTCCTTCTCTATCCAGAGAATAAAATCAGGGGAGAGCTTAGAAGGCTGTTTTCATGTTATTAAAACACTCAGTAGAAGGCCCCGAAGTTGGACTCAATGTGTGGAACTAGCAAGAGTAAAATTTGACAAGTATTTTAGCCATAAGGTAGGTAAGACCTGGAAATGAGGTGGTGCTTGACTGATGAGGATTTTAGAAAACTTGGTAGCCCTAATAACTAGGTGTCCAAGTCTTTGCACTCACTTCTATCTCTTCATAAATAACGAACTGTACTTCAAACTTAAAAATGCTGTATCCCTTCCTCCTCCTACTGTAGCGCTTTTAAGTCTGGTTTATTAACTCACTCCTAGTAGCTCTGTTCAGTGGTCTTCACGCAGTTTTCTTGGCCTTTTTCCATCTGACTAGGTATTGTGTTTTTCCAGAGCAGCAGGATTATTAGGTGTCTTTTACTGAAGGACAGTGGCTTTTTGTTTCCCCCACTAAACTTTTGTTACTGAACTCATCTTCATATCCCTGATTTTTTCAAAGATGTCACAGAAAGGTTGGCTGAAATAAGAGCCAGTCATTCTGAGAATCTGGTCCACAGTGTTGCTTAAAGTGTGTGTGTGTGTGTAATTTTGTAGGAAAGATGTAATCATGATGGGTATTAATACACATACTATATCCGTGTGTATGGAAGCCCTGGTGGTAGTTGTCACATTAAGAAAACATTGCATTCCCAATTGTGAATCGGTATGCAAGAATCCTGAAGTGACAACAGGGTGGGGGGAATGCTTTGCTTGTTGGATTAAGTGTCTTGCTTGGACTTTGGATAGATGAGGTGATATTATCATCAATATTGTTGTGAATGAATGGGCAAGTCACTCTGTCTAGTAGTACTTGTGTCTTTAAGCTCTCCATCTTGACACAGGCGTCTTAGATTTTCTTAGCTCTTTAAATTACTTCAACTACGTATTGGAGTGTCTTAAAAGCTGCATCAAGATTTACATCATTACTAAAGAGAAGGCTTTATTTAGTGTGGTCATGTCAATCTGTATATGACAAATGGCTAAAGCTACTCTGGCTTTTCCTCTAGGCTCTTCAGCTCCTTCATTCATTTCCCCTTGATACACGATTAAAAGATGGAAGTAAGTACAAATGCCCCTTTATGCCTGCTGTGAATTCATGGCGTACATCATGCGTTGCTGTTCCTGATTCCTTAGGATTTCATCTTAAGTCTGTCTTCTTACCAGGTTTGTTTTGGCAATCACCAAAGAGGCCACCTTTCCCAGTGAAGTTTGAATTTAATGATCCTTTGTAAGTATGGTACTGCCACTGATGCGTTTTACAGCATCCTATAAAACACCCTACAGCAGAAAGTGGAAGGCAATGGCTCTATAGCACTAGAAGTTGGACCGGTACTTGATAGGTACTAGTGCATAGTCTTACGCTATGGCAGATTTGGTGAGCTGTCTCGTACTTTCACTGCAGGTAATTTAACTTTTACTGACATGGGATTGGAGGGTGCTGTGGGAAGTTCTAACAACATCTAATGTGAAACAGCTTAGAACAACCCATTTCATTTGTTGTGTGACTACTGAATTGTTGCTGTTGTACCCTCCATGCCCCCATTGGCCCGTATCATGAAATGCAGGATGTGCCAAATTAAATGGACCACCTAAAATGACCTAGTGGAGGAACCCCTTTTCTTCTTCATCACAATGAAGATGTGATGTGATCTAGATGGCTTGGGTATTACAGATAATTTAAAAAATTTATGTGGCGGAACAATTAAAAAGCCTTTATGTGCTGCATATCTACACCTGCTTTGAGAAACTGTCTGGATTGCCATTTTCAGTTTAGGTGAAAACTGAGATCATGGCAGATAGGAAAGTATTTCTGAGATGAAGCTTTTTATTATCATATTTATGTCATGAACATTTGTAGTTGTTTTCTTGACTGCAGTGGTTAAGGAAATGTGGTTTTCATTAAATAATTCTTCACTCATCAAAGTTTGCTTGGTTTTGGGGAGGACTTCTGTGACCCTCAAAATCTGTCATCTGTTTTGTACTGTGTGCACTGAAGGGTGGAAATTCTGTTTCTCTGTGCGTGTGTGTGTGTGTTCAAGGCCTCTTTGAATATGATTGCAAACCTTTGGGCAACTGTAGGAAAAAACAAACCAAACAAAAATAATTGTCTTCCTCTTTTCTCCAGGCACTATGGTTTCATTGTGAGCGCAGCAAAACTCTTTGCAACAGTGTACTGTGTTCCTTTCACAGAAAAGGTAATCCATACTGTAACAGTGTTCCCATCGCATAACTTGGATGTACGTGTTCAGTTTTGGCCTGTTGTCCAGTTGCCAATTCTTTCCAAGAACTGATTAAAGTGATTCTTAAAGTAATCTATCCTTCAGCACTGGCTGTTCAGCAGCTGCTTACATTTAGGCTTCTTTATTTAAATCCCTAACCCAGAGAAGAAATGAGTAGTGTATTGGGTGTTTTCAGTAAGCACTGAACTCGGGAATTCTTATTTTGATGGACCTATTTCCTGTGCAATATAATAACTGAACTGAAAGAAGATCTCTTTAAGGCATTCTTTTCATTGAGTGTCAGCTGTGGTCTGGGAGTTCTGGTTTTTACTGCTCACTGCCTCTGTGTTGCTTATCCTTTGTTTTTCTTGTTACCCTTTTTCTTTCTAATTGGATCTTCTGTAAGTCATGTTTACACTTCTGTTCAGTTTTCAAGTGCTAGGCACTTCACACCACTCTGGTTCACTGTGGCAACTGAAATGTCACTTAGTGTTTCGATGATGTTTCACTGAAACATTATTGAATATTTGTGGGATTGTTTGGTTTTGGTATTCTTTGAAATGCTACTGGATATACAGTGTTTTTGTAGGGGCCTTTTTGAGTTGTTACGAATTTATATTGTTTTTCTTCAAAACCATAACAGGATTTATCAGAGGAAACTATTTTGAAGATTATTTCAGCTGTGAAGGTACCAGAGTTCAGACCTTCAAACAAAGTAAGTGTGGTATTTAGTTTAAAGAAAAAAAAAAAATGCACAAGCAGTGTCCCACATGTCCAACTACTTCTTGCATTGGTGCTGATGAGAAATAAACACAAATTAAAATGTGTTTTGGGGAAACAAGGGTGTGGCATACAGGACTGCTTTAACTTGATATAGCTAAGGTATCAATGTACCAGATGCTAAATGCAAGATGTGGGGTTTTTTCGCCTTTTGCAAATGATTTGTTGTAGCATCATTTTCCATGCATGAGTGTGATTGTAAGTCTGCAAGCTTTTTCTAAGTTTATATGAGTCTATACTATTTTAATAAAAGTAGTAAAATTTTACTCATAAGCAGCTTTAAAGCAATGCAAGACTAGTGTCAATTTGTTATTTCTTTCTAAATACAAAGGAAGTGTCATTACTTTTATGTTTATTTTTGAAGTGGTAACTTCAAACCAGCTTAAGTGTTATTGTGCAGTGGCTAGCATTTGTCATCATTTAAAAATGGCAAATATTCCAGAGTGTTTTCATATGTTCTTGCCCAGTGTTAACACTGGTCTCATGAAAGCTTGCCTTGTGAGACAAAACTGATATTTTGACTTGGAATCACAGAATGGTTGAGGTTGGAAAGGATCTCTGGAGACCGCCTAGTCCAGTCCCCTGGCTGAAGCAGGGGCAGCTATAGCAGGTCATCGAGGACTGTGTCCCATCGGGTTTTGAATATCTCTGAGGATGGAGACTCCACAGCCTCCCTCTGCTACCTGTGCCAGTGTTCAACCATCCTCACAGTTTTGATTGGGTTTTTTTGTTTCTTTTTTTCTTTAAAGTATTTTCTTATGTTTCTTATGGAATTTTATGTGCTTCAATTTGTGCCCATACCCCCTTGTCCTGTCACTGGGCACCAGTGACAAGTCTGGCTCTGCCTTCTGTACTTTCTCCCCATCAGGTATCTATACACATTGATAAGATCCCACTGAGCCTTCTCTTCTCCAGGCTGAACCGTCCCAGCTCTCTCAGCTTCTCATATGAGAGATGCTGCAGTCCTTTAATGATCTTTGTGGCCCTTGGCTGGACTTGCTCCAGTAAGTCTATGTCTCTCTTGAGCTGGGGAGGAAAGACTGCAGGGAAGACAGGAAATGTAGTACGCTTCACGCCTGTGCTGTACAAAGTTCATGTATTTTATTACTCAAGCACTGCACGCGCTTCCAGGTTGTACAGACTGATGAAACTGCAAGAAAACCGGATCATATTCCAGTCAGCAGCGAGGATGAAAGAAATGCTATTTTCCAGCTGGAGAAGTCTATACTATCCAATGAAGCTCTGGAAAGTGAGTAGTGCAAACTAGCTTCATAGCTTAGTAACGTCCTGCAATTGCACTGCCAGTAGCATGACATTCAGGTCTTTGGATAAAGCAGTTCTATAATTCTGCAAGAAGCAGATAGCTGATATCTAAAGCTTTCTGAAGTGCCACGCAGATAACTATCCTTATTGTTTGACGTTACCATATGCTTCTGTATTTCTGAGATTCCTGCCAGTTTTAGGGTTCTCTGTTACACTTGCATGTAAGTACAACCCTGATGACAGCGAGCAGGCAGCAGGGAATTGAATGCTAAGGAGGGAAAGGGTGCCAGCTAGATCCCAGGTGGACTGAACGTGATTCTGGTATGAGAAAGTTGAGAGTTACTACTTACAGGAGTCGATCCGATATCCTAAATTGTGAAAGCTCTTAGGGTCTTCTTCAGCATATGTTAAAATGAGAATGCTCGAATCCCATTTTTGTGCCTGGCCACATGAAGAGGTCATTGGGCAACAACTACATGCATGCATTTTTAGCCCGTGAACACAGGGGAGAAAGATTAGCTTAGCTCCTAACCCGTCCCATAGAGTGTCAACCCTAACCTCTGTCTCCCCTGCTAGAGTCCGTAGTGAAATGGTTACAGATAAACAAAGCTCACAGAGGGAATTCTCACAGGATGGAGCTATAGCAAGGTGGGGTGTATAAGAAACATCTATAGGACTGTCCAAAATCTGTTCCTGGTGTTGCAAGGAAAATAAAATTGTGGAATTCTGCTGATATTTATTTCATTACTCAATTTTAACAACTGGTGTTGATAGGGGCATTTCTGCTTCTAGCATGGGAAAGCAAGTTATAAGTAAGGCACCAAACTCCAGAATGTGAAATTTTTAATTTGTTAAGGTTCTAGTTCCCTATAACTTATGTTTAGAACATCTTCAGTTTTCTAATAATAACTTTTGCTCTTTTTTTTTTTTTTGTGAGCAGGTGACTTGCAAATGAAGCCCATCTCCTTTGAAAAAGATGATGATAGTAATGGGCATATAGATTTCATAACAGCAGCATCAAACTTGCGAGCCAAGATGTACAACATCGAACCAGCAGATCGGTTCAAAACAAAGCGCATTGCTGGGAAGATTATTCCTGCAATTGCAACAGCTACTGCTGCAGTGTCAGGGCTGGTGAGTATGCTTTTTAAAATGCATATTTCTTTCTCACTGTCTCTTGCCTAAAACCACTGTTGTTTGGACATTGATTAACACTACCCTGACAGAGCCTCATTAAAGAAATGCATTTATTTCAAACTTAATAGTCTCTTTTTCTCATGTACGAATACAAAAGGTTGCTCTTGGTTCTGGATGTGGTAAGCCCTTGGTGCTTTTATTTCTCATTTGCTGACCAGAAAGAGGTGTTGGAGATCAGCATTTTGGCTTGTTTTCTGCAATTAATACTAACTTCCCTCAGAGTGCCACTGCCAAGAGTGGAAAGGATCTGTTCTGTAGTAGTTCACATCCATGCACCTCAACAGAACTGCATGCTTTGTGGAGGTTGTCTTGAATTAAACAATTTTGGAAGAGTCCTACATTAGGAGCACTTTTGAATGTTTTAAATATTTCCATTAGCAGCAACAGAATTGATTTCTGTGGCATATTGAGTTGCATCTCCAGATGTGATAAGACAAAGGTTGATCTCATTAACAACTTACTCTGTAGTTGCTGGCCTCTTAACTAAACTAGGGTTGATAACACAGTACCTAAAACCTGTGTTTGATCTCATGGAAGTATGGGATTCTTATTTACTGCAGGTTGCACTGGAACTCATCAAAGTTGTGGGTGGCTACCCAGCTGATGCATACAAGAACTGTTTTCTGAACCTAGCCATTCCCATAATGGTGTTTACAGAAACTGCTGAAGTAAGAAGAACGGAAATCAGGTAGGAAGGACTATGGCAGAAGGGCGGTATTTGGAAACCTGGTAATTGTTGCTAGAACTTGGTGCGCCATTACAAGTGCGAAGTTTGTACAGTTATTAAATCCAGATAGCCGGATTAAGGCCTTATGTGCTTGCACAGCAGAACTATGATGGAACCACAGTTCATGGTTGTACTCCAAGTAAATGTTATAGATATTCAAGGTTATTTTATTATTGTTCTTTAAACTTGGAAGATCATGAATCAGTTAGTGCTTGCTATCAAACCCTATTATCCACTTACTATGTACTGCTAAAGGTGTAAGTGGTATTCTTAATACCGCCAAGGGTGTCTCATAATGCATTGCTCAAGAACTTCCTGTTTGGAAAATGCAGCACATACTGTTCTGTCCTAATTTTAAAAATAGTGGTTTTAATGGCTTAGTTTTGTTTTCAGTGGAAGCTGTTGCTAGTGAGGCTTTAAAAATCTAGATGAGTTAGGTGTGCGGTGTGTTTTTTAATAAACTTCCTGTCTGCACAGGCTGGACACACTTCTGCCTCTTAGTACAAGACCTATTTTTCAATAGGTCTGAAAACTCAGTAAGTTCATTGCCAGATACCATGTTTACTCAGAGTTCTTACTGTGTCTTGTGCTTAGCCAGGTCAAAGGGCTGGAGACATGGCAGCAGAGAGGGAAGATATTTTTGCTCAAGATAAACAGCAGGTTGCTAGAAGAGATAGCAGTTCTTCAGTACATGTTTAAAGGAAGTGCCTGAGTTCACGTTCTAAAGTAACAAACAACCTTTCTCTTTTTAAAACAGAAATGGGATATCATTTACGATCTGGGACAGGTGGACAATTTATGGGAAAGAGGATTTTACTCTGTTGGATTTCATAAATGCTGTCAGAGTAAGTTATCATCTATTGTACTGGGTTAATACAAGACGAGGGGAAAGGGTTTTCTTGTTTTAGGTTGTTGGTTTTGGTGGTTTTGTTGTGTTTTTTTTTTTTCTTCTATCAAGTTATTGTTCAAACCAGAGTAATTCTAGAAAGAATTAATGTCAACGGGAATGTCTCTAAGTAAACACGTCCCAGCCTATTTTCAAATTCTTTCTTAATTCGATTGGCTCAAATGTATCTTAATAAAACTTCTGTCAGCATCCATGCATTAGCAAGTTTTCTGGTTGGGATCGTATCGTTTTGAATAGTTAGTTGTAGTATTAGCAGTAGTAGTATCTGCTGGCTTGTGCAGCTGTCCTAGTCCTTTAATGAGTTTTAATTTGTGAATTCCAGGAGAAATATGGAATTGAACCAACTATGGTTGTACAGGGAGTCAAAATGCTGTATGTTCCTGTGATGCCAGGTCATATGAAAAGATTAAAGCTGACGTAAGTATAACTGGAAATGGGTCGAGGGATGCGAGTACATGTACAAATTATGTTCACTGGGTATATCATAAGGACGTGTGTCTGACAGCAATGTTTTCTCTTAGAGTGGCTGCTAGTCATTAATATTTGGGAAAGAAAAAAAGTAATTTCTTCCTTTTGAAAAAAAAAGAAAAAAGGGAAAGTGAATTAACTTCTGTGGTGAGGACAGGAGACTTGCAAAATGCTACTCTAACTCATGAATGCCAGAATGAGAAACCCAAAGAAGTCTGACAGTAAGTTTTTTCTGGGAAAGAATGTACCTTGGTTCAAGCAGAACAAGACGAATCGAACCTTTTTAAACTGGCTTAAAACTAATGGTGATATTTAGCAACTTAGCTCTGAAAGAATGAGAGCGCTTGTTCAGGAAGGAGTTAATGTATTGGTTGCAGATTGAGATTTCTGGAAGCCTGCTCAGTTCATAGTAATTCCTTGAGATTCTAGCTCACTTTAGCCCTTTTAAAAATGAAGACATTCACGAGGCTTTGCAGTGCTGCTCCCTGACAGGAAATTGGGGTATAATAAGCTGGAAGTTCGGCAGGGTGTGAGGGCAGGGCATTGGTTTTTGACTGATAGGCCTTTGCAACGTAACAGCCAGATCTCACCCAGGTTTAGTTCTACCTTGTATGTCGACCGAACTTCTTTAGCTCAAAATTTGTTCCTCACAGCTCCTGTGAAGTGCATGCTGGTCAGTGGTCACAGGCTTTGCTAGAGCAAGTAGACGCATTGATCAGTACTGTTTCGAAGGTCTGCCAGGAGGTTACGTCAGGCAAAGTAGTATATGTTATGGGCAAGCTACTTCAAACCTCCAGGGAGAGAAGAGCCTCTAAGCTGGTACTGCCTTTAGAGTGCCTGGCATACTAAGATGTGAATTTACAGCCTATCTCAAAATAAGTTGTTTATATTCCTTCTCCTACGGCTGTATAAATCATTTCAAATGAGTGGGGTGCGTAACGAAGTCAAAGGCATGGTGTGAAGCTGCCTTCTTGCAAATATCGGGATTTCTTATTACTCTGAGACTTGGTTCAAGCTTTCCATGTAGTTACAGCAACTTGGGGTTCTGTTGCAAACAGTCCCAAAAACTTTGTAAGATATTTGCACGGCAAACTCTGGTCTTGCTTGTGTGTTTGTTTTTTCTTAAGGTGTTTAAAATCTTTCTCTTGCTGTAACAGGACAAGCGTTGCAAGACTCTGTCTTCGTTTCAGAATTACAGCGTGACTGGTAGCATACTCCTTAAAAGCAAGTTTGAGAGACATAGTTATCTGCCTTGCTTTTTAGCTTGGAGCTTCCTCATGCAAATGGATATGACCTCAGTAGCTCTGCTGAGAAGAGGCTAATGCTTTGTGTTCTTGCAAGGGAACAAGTACTTTGGGGAAAGCAGCTTTTTGACCTGCGTGCTAAAGCATAGCCAGAAGGGAAATACTTCTCCAAGTGACCTGTGAGGAATAGAAATGAGTGACTGTATTCCCCCAGCCTCCTAGCATTTGAGCTGGCCTCATGAACTAGTGCTCCGAGTTGGCAAGAAAATAATTTTGAGACATCCAAAGATATGTAATGAAAGTGAGGTTGATTGACCTTCTACTTCAGTATTTTATTGTGCAACTTCCAAGCAACAGCTGTAGCTTTTGAGACTGCGGAGAGCAAAAGGGGGAAGTTGCACTAAGACGTGACACACTTACCTAGTTTAAATTCACACGGTGGTCACGAAGGAAGTCCCAGGTCCTCGCTATTTTCCCCCCCTCATTGCTATTTGCCTTCGAAATTCAAGGACTTAACAAGTCTTAACTTCAATAGAATTACTTTCCGTCAGAACTATGTATCTAGTGTCTGCACTGAAGTGGTTCTCCCTAATAATGCATTAAAACCAGCCATTATTGGTAGACCAAGAACTTGCTCCTCCTCATTGACCAAAATCCTGCACAGAACGCTGACTTTGCCTTGTGCCTCAGTAGGATGCCAAAAAGAAGTTACGTCGGTGAGGGATCTCATCCAAAACTGGCCATTTTCTCTCCTCTTGTACTAAGCACTTGTTAGTGAACAATGTAATAGCTCACTAACGGGCTAAGTCTATCAAGAAAATAGAATACCATTTGCTATACCTCAGGTGGACGAACAGCTTTTGTGTCAAAATTAAAAAGGCGGCTTATTCTCCATTTTAATCTGGTTTCTAGTATGTTGGGCTTCATTGCTGGCAGTGAAATTCATCCTAGTCTGGCCCTGAATTCCCACTGCCAATCCTCCCTCTGGTATGTTAACAAACTGTTCTTCGTTTCCTTGTAGGATGCAAAAGCTTGTGAAACCATCAGCTGATAAAAAGTATGTGGATTTGACAGTATCGTTTGCTCCAGAGACTGATGGAGAGGAAGACTTGCCAGGGCCGCCAGTGAGATACTACTTTGTTCAGGAAGACAATTGATGGTAGAGACACAAAAGTCACTCCCAGACCATTTGTTCTGAAAGGAGTGTGCTAATTTTCAGCTATTAAAGATGGTACTATATATTTCTTTTTGGTGAAGCCTTAATTAAAACAAATGGTGAAAATCAGTGGCTTTGCACTGAAGACAAACTGGATTTATGTTTCATCTGCTCCCGTTTTCTTCAAACCTGTTCGCTCAAAGGAGGATTGGTCACTCCATGAGATGGAATGTCCGGTACAGTCCTTACCTTAAAGACAGGATTTGTATTAATTTGTGGGGAGCTGAAGAAAGCAAGAAGAATGGTGAACCTAACAGATGGTCCCCGTGTGCAAATTACGCACTGCTTAGAGAAGAGTGCAAAAAGTGGGGAAACTGCCATTTTATGATACTCCTGGTGTTCTAAGAACATTGCAAATCCATTTCATATGTTACTTAATTCTTGAACAAGAATTTCCTTCTTGCCATCTACCCATGAGGTTTAATCCATCCAAAAGGTTTAAACTCCCACTTAAAAGCAGATGAACTGTTTTATTGTGTTGTTGGTGCTCTCTTCTGAACAGTTAGTGATGCTGTGTGTCAGAGCAGCTGTCTTATGTCAGTCTCAACATCAAAACATAGGGAGGCAGGTCTCAAGTAGGTGTAAATTTTCACAGCTCCCCTGAAGTCAAGAGAGCTGGAACTGTTGATTATCTGCAGTAAGACCGCTCTTTGGGTAATACTGCAATATGGGGAAAGTGGAAACCTATCGGAGAGCTGAGTTAACACGTTCAACAATAAAACTGTGTCCTCAAGGAAGAGAAAATGTTGGGCCTGGTTGAGCCTTTCTGCCTTCACCAAATTAAAAACACTGTAGCAAATGATGACTTTGAAAGGAGGAAGAGGCAAATGGCTCTGGATGTTTGTCATAGCAAACACTGTTTCCCCAGCTGCTCCTTTTGGTGCCGTTTCCTTATAGCGAATGGTTATGCTGTACACCTGTCCACAGCACAAGTCTGAGTTGCACTGAACACTGAGGTTTTTATCCTCATCAGTCAGTTACTAGGATATCTATGTATAAAGAATCTGCTTAATTGGAAATAATTAGGGACTAGCTTTGCTGCTGTGGTGAGGCAGAGGTGCGTTACGGAAACACCTTACTTTCGCTATCATTTAAACACTGGATAGTTGAGCTGGTAGTTGTTTTTTCTCCCAATGATGACATAGTGAAGTGAGGTTAGAATAAAAACCTATGAACTTGAAAACCTTTTAATGTGTTTAAGCTTTAGAGATTGCGATTGCACATTATCTCCTGCAGCTGTTGCAAAAGCTACTGACTACTTAGCCATTTATCCTCGATCATAATTTATTAAGCTTTAGGGATATCTTCACATTTAAATGAACATTATTGGTCAGGAATTTTACCTCTCCTTTTTCCCTTCTCAGTTAGTTGTAGTCAGGAATAACAGCTATTAGGCTGGGAACTTCAACACCAAGGTGTATGGAACTGAATAGCTGGAATCAACACAATTATTCCAATTTTTGGGATTTAGTCTTACGTGCGGGATATCTTCTGGAAAGTGTATATAGTTTTACAGTCAGTCTAGTTTATAGATACAATTTTCTAGATTAATAATACTGCTTTTTAAACTACCTAACTTATTTCATTTTTTTTAAGAACTTCTTTTAGAGAAACTTTTTGAAACAGCAGAAAAGATGACTGCATTTAGAGTGCAGAGAAGGCACAAGCAGACAGTAAGTTTCCACTTCTAATTAACAGCTAAGATGTATTTCACTGTGGCAGTATTGGAATCTGAACTCTTAACTGAAATCACTAATGAGTGCTAAGGATCACTTAAAGGTTTAGGTCAAGTCAAAAATACTGCCACCTCTCACAGTTGGGATGGAAACAGATGAAACTTTGAGTAAGTACACTCTGGTACGTTAGTGTGGTGTTAACATCGTGCTTATGCTTTCAAAGTAGCATATAAAAATGGTAAAGTCCCAGTACTTTGCTGGAATGCCATCTGACAGTCTTCAGGGTTTAAAGTAAATTTTCAGATACAATTAATGGAATGGCTTTTACTAATGATAACACGTACAGCTTCCTGAGACCCTTGCCAAAAAATCCAGGTTGAGGTTGGCAGGGATCGGGGCCAGAATTTACAGACGTGGCTGTATCTCTATACTGCTCTTATTGTGTGTATCTGTTGGATGGATGTCTGTCCTGTGGGTGGGTTCTGCTCAGTTAAACAGTTGCTGATGGAAAAACTGAAAAGGCACAATGGCTCTAGATATTTATTAGCAGACCTTTAAAATTTTCTGGATATAAGTTAAGCTAGGTAAAATCTTACAAGTAATAACCTAAAGAGGACTTTTATGTGGAAGAACTGTGCATGTCAAGTGGCTCATTAAAATTGTTTTTCATGTTTTAAAACTTTCTGAACTGCTGGTATGGAGAGTGAATGTATTTGTATTGAAGGTTGTGCAGAGTGGAGTGAGCCAATTCAGCGTGCATTTGTGTTTCATACAGCCCATTTCTCAATCTGTTGCTGCTTTTTATCAAAAGTCTCAGCAGGTGCTCAGCATGATCACACTAAAAGGGCTCAGTCAAACTGGGCAAGTGAATTTCAGGGTGCTGGTCTGCCAGATCTCCAGCATTGTCCCTACCAGTGCTAGCAGTGCAGAGGCTCGTCGCACTACCTGGAATCTGAGAACTGCTTTTTTTTTTTGCCTTTTTTTTTCGTTGTGATGAAAGCTTGTGTGTTTCTAGGACTGCTTGATGCTCTGTTCCGGTGGAGCAGCTGGAGGTAGCCATCTCCCTGCAGCAATGAAGAACTACCCACTAGAACACTTTGAATAGCTTTCCTTCAAAATGTTATTCTTTGAAAGAGCAGTTGACTTGCAGAGATGAAGTTTTATATCAGTATTAAAGATCTTTGTCACTCAAATGCTTTCTTACAGAGTTTGCTCATATTTACACTAGCTTTCCCGTATTTTTTTGCATTCTTAATAGTTGCAGGAATGTTTGTGCATGCAAAACACAAGGCATTTAGCACCCAGCTCAACTGTTCTCTGTGGTTAATCTCCATGCTTCTTTAATGCTAGGAGTAGTGAGGATTCTGTGTGAAGATCATGCTGCTGTTAACAAGACTGTTTTGGCGGATCTGGTGGATTTAGGACTTTATTTACCTATACAAGGAGTAAAAAGTACATGTTTTCAGCTTTTTTTTCCACCATATGGTGAATACGTGAATGTCTATTTTAAAAAAAATGCTATTCAAGAGTAATAACTACATAGAAAGAACAACTCAGGCGCTAGCTGGGACTCTGAATGCAGAAACCCTGTCACCTCATCACGGCATCTCACATCCTGAAATACTGCGGGTTTGAGCTAGGCAGAGAGTTTGTATATCTGTCTGACTTGTATCAAACATAAGTAAAGGCTTTAGGTAAGTTCATGTTCTTAATTTTTCCTTGTGTCTTTGGAACAATGTGGCTGTAGGCCAGTTGTTTGAAGAAAGGAACTGAATTTCAGCTAAATGCAACTGGCTTATTAGCTCGAAAGGCTTATCCGTCCCTGTTAATTATCTCCAGTTTTGCAATTACAGAGCATAGTCTGCTGCAGCACAGTGCAGCAATCTAAACCTTTGTCCAAAGGTTGATAAGTTTTGACCAGATAGCTTTTGAGAGTTTATTTTAGTGAACGTGTCTTTTGTGTGGTCACTGAAGTAGCTAGTGTGGGTGTCTGTCCATGCTGCAGAAAGCTCATTGAGGCTCAAGCTTAAAGGCGTCATGAGTTACGGCATTGGTAACACCAGCAGAACTGTCTTGCTAGTAAGTGAATCATTTTGCATGGCAAAAGTGAGATACAGTGAAGAAGTATTAAGTTCCCACTTCTCACAGCAACACACAAGTTTCAATTTCATACTGAGGAAAAGCTGCAACTCTAACCTGATTCATACTGAGCAGCACCATCTTCACAAAGTGATCTTCAGTATTTTCATGAAAAGAAAGTGCTAACGTCTCATGTTGTACTTCTCTAAATACAGTGGGTGTGCCTTCATATGGTCACACACAATCTATTATTTAGAAACGTGTGGGCATTCTTTTAAACAACCTCCCCAAACCTTGACTGACTTCCATAATCCTTGAAACAAGCAATAATTAATTTGTGATTCCCAGCTGATCTCAAAGGCACACGATGATCAATCTTGGTCTGGAAATAAGAGCAGCTCTACCTAGAGCACTCGCTGTGCGTGTAGTGAAGGTGCTAGCTGCTCCCGTACCTAGATCGTAGCCGTCTTCAGCTGAGCTGTGTGAATGCTCCCCCACCACTGTCAGAGAAGAGGTGTGGTTTATCTGGTTGGGGGTTTTCTTACAGAAAAAAGCCTGGCTCTGGAGCTAGTCATCTCCACTAACTATGAAGGAGCATAGCTCAGCAGTGGGTGCCCATCCTGTAAGCACTTTATTCAGTCCAGCTGCCTGGCAGAACTTAGAGGCTAAAAATAATAAACTTGGATCTTACTGCTGATCACTTCAGTTGCTTGTTTTGAAGGCTGGATCCCCAGTTTCCAAGAAGATGGGTGCTGTGCCTAAGACTCAGTGGGATTCCACAACTGTTCAGTATGATCAGCAGGGCTCTCGTGTGCCGCTGCCTTCCCTTGTTACCAGCTGTGCAGCCTTGTCCTCCTTGTGCGCGCGCTGGGGCTTGTCTCAGCCCATGGAGAAGGGAGTTCAGAGAGCTTAACCAACAGGGACACTAATTTATTTTTGTTTAGTTTCCCGAAGTAGCTCACAGCAGGGTCTGAACACCCCTGCTGGCATGTAGCAAAGGTGGGAATGTTCAGCTGGGCAGGACACGTCTTCAGTTTGCTTGACTTTATGCCCTCCCTCAGTTGCATAACGTGGGAGATGCCCCAGCCACCTTACTCGGGATGTTTCAGGTCCTGTAAGGGTTGCGTGACCTTGCAGAGAACCAGGAACCCCCAGTTTAAGCTACCCAGACTCGTATTTTCTGCTTTTTCGTCTGTATTGCGCCTCTCTGGCAGTGCTCAAAGCCCCGGAAGAGGTGAGGCATCCCTGCTGTCTCTGTGGGATGTCATAAATGGCACTGATCCGGTTACAAGTGAGTAGACGAGAAATGGGGTTTTTAACAGAAAGAGTTTATTGCAGTGTGAGCCAGTGACAGAACTGAGCTCACAAACACTGTCTGTCTAATTTCAATACACTTTTTTTATCACATTTTGTAGGGGCCATGTGACCTCTCTTTCCCACTCTTGTCTTTTCTTCTTTTTCCACGTACAGTCTTCTACAGGAATTGGGGTTATTTGCCCTCCCCAAATCTCAGAAGTTTCTCTGAGAGAAGCTGCATCACATTCTTGGTTTAGGGCCAACAGAGGTGTTCTAGAAATTGAGAAAGAGTAGCTTGGGGGATAACTTCTGTTTATCTTCACTGGTACGGAGTTCCTGTGCTGCTTCTCGTGCCTTTTTCTTTC